TAGAAAAGTGCCATTTCTTTGGTCGAAATTTGACACTTAATTGGAACATTCAATGGCAACTCCTTGGATTCTCCGTTTTATTAAGATTAGTGAGAAGAAAATTGATGAATTAGTGTAGCGTTATTTGATGACTGTTAGACTACTCTGTCATCAATATGATGATGAATAAACTGAATCTATTTAAGCATAATTAAGTCCTCATCAATACACAAGTATTTCTGCAAGAACAAAACAAATCATGACTACTTGTAATTCCAAATTGAGTTTAAAGCTTTTGATTGACAGCAAGGCTAAAAAAGTCCTATTTGCAGAGTCTGAAAAGGACTGTGTTGATTTTCTGTTTCACATTCTGTCATTAGGCTTCTCAAGACTAAAGGATTGAATTATGGATGCTTGCCTAACCTCTAAACGATACTTATTTTCAGTCTAACCAAGACAAGGACATCCTTTTAAAACCCAAATCTCCAGTTGGGATATTTTCTGTTCCTTTTCTATCACTTAATATTAATGACGTTCCGGCACAAAAGACATCTTATATATGTGCTAGTGCTTATGTTTGTGGTTCCACCATTTCTACTTATGTTACAGATGTCCCTAATTCTCTATGTCGGAACTGTATGTCCAGAAAGTTGACGTATCTTGCTCCACAGGGAGTGAAGGAGCCTGTGGGTACTACAGGCACTGGTTTTGTAAAGGAAGCAGTGAAATACATGGTGATGGATGATTTGGTTGTTAAGCCTCTTTCCATCGTATCTAGCATTACCGGTCTTAACAAATACTTTAATGCCAAGGATGTTGCTTCCCTGCAGGAGAAAGTAGTAAATTTAGGAATGGAAGAGGTATATACATACAATTCATTCGTTCCAATTTCTGAAAAACTTCCACATAAATTGGTACAAAATAATTGCATATTGCTTATTCTTAATTTTCTCTTACATATGTTTGGTACTGAGAACTTTAGTTAACTCTTATGATCGTGCAGGCGCTGAAGTTGCTGAAGGCATCGTTTGAATCAAAAACAGTTCTGACTAGTGTTTTCATGAGCAGTGCAAAGCAAAAAAGAGCTGTGTAGAGCTAGCACAGAATAAGCTATTAAACATGAGGGAATTGGATGTTTCAGTTTTATGTAATTGTCCTCTTAATTATTACTGGTTTACTTTTGTTTGTAGGTTCAGTTGTGCATTGCTTATAAATCTTACTACTAGTTAATCTGGTATGTTGGTACGAAAGAAAACACCCTTAATGGTCCATACTTCGATCTGTGCTATTATCTTCTTATTTTGTACCAAACACACCTTGAGAGAAAAAAGTATTATTATCTTCTTATTTTGTAGTTAAGTACTTAATTTACTAAAAAGACAATGAATTTTTTATTAGTAATAAAATGTGTTTTAAAAGAAAATGAAGCAATTGTGACTATAAAAGCGCCAAAGTACACCTGACATTTTCCTAATCCACTACCAATTATCATCCAGTTTGGCATAATGACTACTTCTGAGACCAAATTGAGCATGAAGCTATTGATTGACACCAAGACTAAAAAAGTACTATTTGCTGAGGCTGAAAAGAATTGTGTGGATTTCTTGTTTCTCGTTCTCTCATTGCCAGTGGCAACAGTCATTAAGCTTCTTAAGAAGAAAGGTATGAATTATGGATGCTTGCCTAAACTCTATGATAGTGTCTGTTGAATTTCAGAGAATCTGAGATGAAACCTGGTTCACCATTAGTGAAGCTTCGAGAAACAGGAAGAAGAAAAGAGAGCTTTGAGACTGATTGAAGAATTGGGGAAACTGAATTAATGAATTGATCTCAATTGTTCCTTTACAATATATACAATACAATGAATGAGTTTAGCCCAGATTCCAAGATAACAACTATGCTAACAAACAAAAATAACCAACTCTTAACAACTAACCAACTAACTACTAATTAATCTGTCAACTAATTACTAATTAGATTAAGAGCTAAATGTGACGTTATCTCAACACCCCCCCCCCTCAAGTTGGAGGTGAGTAGCTCACAGCCAACTTGTGCAAAATAATGGAATGCTTTGAACTTGGTAAAGGCTTGGTCAAAACATCAGCTAGTTGTTCCTCAGTTGAAATGTGATGAAGGACAATGAGGCCTTCTTGCAGCTTCTCCCTAACAAAATGACAATCCACTTCTATATGCTTTGTTCTTTCATGAAACACAGGATTTCTTGCAATATGAACAGCTGCTTGACTATCACAAAACACAGAAATGGGCAGGTTACATGGCATATGTAGTTCAGTTACCAACCTCTCCAACCATACCAATTCCCCCACTACTTTTCTGACTGCTCTGTATTCAGCTTCTGCTGAAGATAGAGAAATAGTTGTCTGCTTCTTAGATTTCCAACAAATAGGACTATCTCCCATCAACACAATATATCCACTCACTGACCTTCTAGAATCAGGGCAGGCAGCCCAATCTGAATCACAATAAGCAGTGACAGTGTAATTTTTATCATTGGATAAGAAGATTCCTAAACAAGGATCATTCATAAGGTATCTGGGAACATGATATGCAGCCTTCAGATGTGGTTCCCTAGGAGATTGAAGGAACTGACTAAGATGTTGAACACTGAAGGCTATATCTATCCTGGTATGTGTCAAAACGTTCAATTTCCCTACTAACTTTCTATAATGTGTAGGGTCTTTCAACAACACCCCCTCATCTGCCTTGAGTTTAACCGTGGATTCAAGAGGAGATAGGACTGGTCTGCAGGATGAACAATCAAATTCTGTCAATAGATCTGTAGTGAACTTTCTCTGTGAAATCAAAACTCCAGTGTCTTTGTAGAGTATTTCTAATCCCAGAAAGTAGTGAAGTTTCCCTAGATCTTTGATCTTGAATTTGTCATGAAGGAAACACTTTAGAGAACTTATTTCACCAACATCAGTTCCTGTTAAAACTATATCATCAACATAAACAGCAACAAATACAAGAGAAGCACCAGTTTTTCTATAAAACAAGGAATAATCACTGTCTAAGTGAGAATACCCTCTTGAGAAGAGTACTTGAGCCAACTTATCATACCATTGTCGACTTGCTTGTTTGAGACCATATAAAGATTTCTTGAGTTTGCAACATAAGTTTGTATCCTCTACTAGAAGCCCTTGAGGTATGGTCATGTAAACTTCCTCACATAAATCTCCATGGAGGAAAGCATTGTTGACATCTAATTGATACATATCCCAGCCCTTTTTCACAGCTATACTGATTAAGGTTCTAACTGTAGTCATTTTCACTACTGGAGAAAAAGTCTCATTGTAATCAAAACCTGCCTGCTGAGTGTATCCCTTTACCACAAGTCTGGCTTTGTATCTTTCCACTGAACCATCAGCTTTGTGTTTGATTTTGTACACCCATCTACACCCTATTGCTTTCTTCCCTGCAGGTAACTTAACAAGTTCCCAAGTATGATTAGTATATAAGGCCTCAAATTCGGATGTCATTGCCATTTGCCAGGCAGGATCCAACGCTGCCTCTTCATATGAAGATGGTTCAGTGTCATGTGAAATGTTCTGAACAAGGTGTTGACTGTCTGTATTAAAACTAGTAAGAGATGTATGATGGTTAAAAGAAGGAGAGGGTGAGAATGATGATGAAGTTGAAGGTTGTTTTGGAGGTAATGAATAATGGTATTCTTTAAGGTATGTGGGAATGGTGTGTGGCCTTGTGGATCTCCTGAGGTTGTGAACAGTAGTGTCTGGTAGGTCTGTTACTACAGGATCAGTTGGTGTTGGTAATACATTGTTATTAGAGGATAAAGGTATGTAAGCATGATTAGGCAAAACAGTACTAGTGACAGTATCAGTGGTGTCATCATCCAACACATTAACCTTGTAAAAAGAATTATTAGTAGGACTTGACATAGAATTATCAGCAGGACTTGACAAATTAGAATTGGTGATTATTTGCTTTAGTATTGTAGCAAAACTGGTATTTGGTTCTGAAGTAGAGAATGGAAAAACATTTTCACAAAATGACACATCTCTGGAAACATGTATTCTCTTAGTACTCAAGTCTAAAACCTTGTACCCCTTTGTGTTGAAAGGGTATCCTACAAAGATGTGGGGTGTAGATCTTGGCTCGAATTTGCTCTTATGAGTTGTAGTTGTAGGAAAACATAGGCAACCAAAAGATTTAAGGTGTGAATAGAGAGGCCTTTTATCATACAATGTCTCAAAAGGAGTTTTGTCATGGAGAGTGGAATTAGGCAACCTGTTAATCAAATAAGTTGCTGTGAGTATGCACTCACCCCAGTATCTAACAGGCAGTTTGGACTGATACAATAGTGCTCTTGCAACTTCTAGAAGGTGTTTATGTTTTCTTTCCACTACACCATTTTGTTGTGGTGTGTATGGGCAGGTTTTTTGGTGTATTATGCCTTTATTTTGAATATATGCATTTGTTTCAGCATTTACAAATTCTGATCCATTGTCAGTTCTGATAGACTTAACGGTGGTTTGAAACTGGTTTTCCACAAGAGATACAAATGTTTTTATAGTTTGGAGTGTATTGCTTTTGCATGAGAGAAGTTGTGTCCATGTTGACCTGCTGAAGTCATCCACGATGGTCAGAAAATATTTATAGCCATTGTGAGTTATTTCATGGTAAGGTCCCCACAAATCTAAATGGAGAAGGTCAAAAGGTTTAGTACTAGAGGAAGTGCTTTTTGTTGGGAAGGGGGATCTTGTTTGTCTAGCCATGGGGCAAATGGAACATACAAAAGGTTGTTTGGGTGAAAAAGATATGGGAATGGCAGAAATTCCTTTCATCTTAACAAAAGGTACATGGCCTAGCCTGTTGTGCCATAAGAGATCAACATTATTCCCACGAGACATGCATGATAATGAAGGCACAGAGTAGAAACAGAAGCACTTTTATTCCTTTTATCACAAGGTAAGGCAGAAATATCACACAAGGAGTTACATGATTTTGGACTAGGACTCAAAGAACTACAAGGTGCAGAATTCAAAATACTAGAAATAACAGGGAAAGAAAAAACATGTGATCCATTTGCTTGGACTGTAGAGCTTGGACAAGAAGTATGGCACTTTGAACAAAAAAAATAGAGGCCATTTTGTGCTCTACCAATCTCCAGAGGGCTCTCCATTGAAGGGCCCTGCATCAAACAAGAGAAAGAATTGAAACTAATGGATCCTTTAAAATGAGAAACTAGGCAATGAACTGAAATTAAATTGAATCTGAAACTAGGAACAAATAAGACTTTATACAGGATTAAAGATGGATTCAAACGAGCATCACCAATTTCTGTCACTTTTACTCTATAGCCATTTGGTAATGTTACTAGAAAAGGGTAGGGTAATGGTCTGATGTTGGTCAATAGAGATTTGTTAAAGGTCATGTGATTTGAGGCACCGGAATCTATTATCCAGGAGTGAACAGAAAATTGAGAACATTTACATGACAGCTTACTAACATCAACAATTGAAGAAGAGCAAGTTAAGATACCTGCAAAGTTCACAGCTCCACCAAAAATGTTTGCATTCTCTCTAGCTGTAACTGCATTGCTATTTCCTCCTTGAAGCTGAATGTTTTCCAGCAAGTTCATCAGTTGTTCAAGGTGGTGTTTGGAAATAACAGAACTCTTCTTCTCATGACCACATCTATCCTCACTTCCTACATGACTTTTCCCTTTGTTCATGTGATCACGACTAGCATGAGCAGTAGCTGCTGTTCCTACAGCATTCTTGCCTTTAGTGAATTTGAAATCTTCAGGGAAACCATGGAGCCTGTAACATTTGTCCCTTGTATGTCCAGATTTCTTACAATACTCACAAAACAGATGAGACTTATTTGGAGGTTTGCTTCCACTGTTGCTTCCTCCACTGCTACTTCCCCAATTGTTCTTCTGTGGAGTGTAATTTGTTCTGAAATTAGTACTAGTACTGGCAGCATTCACGTGTAGAGAAGTGGACTCCAGATTGAATTTCCCATGAGGCTTTACTTCCCCTTGCTTTTCTTCCTGCACTAGAATGGAAAAGGCTTGAGCCATGGTAGGCAAATGATTCATCATCAGGATACTGCCTCGAACGATTGTGTACACTTCATTCAATCCCATGAGAAAATGAATTAGTCGTCTGTCTTGCTCAGCCTTGTGCATCCTTGCTTTCCCATCACAAGTACACAGACATGTGCACTGAGAACTGGTGTCCAATGTGCTAAGTTCCTCCCAGAGCTTACGCATTTTGGTATAGTAACCAATGACATCGAGATTTTCCTGAGTCAATTCAGTTATTTCTCGCTGCAATTGGTACAGTTTCGCACCATTGGTCTGATCATACCTATCAGCCAATTCATCCCACAACTCTTTTGCGTTGTTAACATATTGCAGGCTATCAGCAAGATCTTTTGAGAGTGAGTTGAGAAGCCACGAGGTGACCATATCATCACATCGTTCCCATTGAGCAAATGTAGCTGAATCGAGATCTGGTTTCACGATTTTTCCATTGATGAAACCTGTTTTGTTCTTCACTGATAGTGCTCTGAGAATTGCTCGTCTCCAGGAACGATAACCTGATCTATCAAATAGAACCGGAACAATTGAAGATCCAGCATTCTCAGATGGATGCATGTAGAGAGCATTAGTGGATAGGATTGGGAGATCCTGAATCTGAACTGGAGGTGTATCAACATTTTCCCCCATGGCTACTGAATATCAATCAACAACAGAAAAACAGAGAAAATAGAGAAGAAACGAAGAGATAAGATGATCGATGCGGAAGAGAGAACCTTACGGCTCTGATACCATGTTGAATTTCAGAGAATCTGAGATGAAACCTGGTTCACCATTAGTGAAGCTTCGAGAAACAGGAAGAAGAAAAGAGAGCTTTGAGACTGATTGAAGAATTGGGGAAACTGAATTAATGAATTGATCTCAATTGTTCCTTTACAATATATACAATACAATGAATGAGTTTAGCACAGATTCCAAGATAACAAACTATGCTAACAAACAAAAATAACCAACTCTTAACAACTAACTAACTAACTACTAATTAATCTGTCAACTAATTACTAATTAGATTAAGAGCTAAATGTGACGTTATCTCAACAGTGTCGAAAATTTGAACGACACCTATATTCAGTCGAAGGACATCCTTTTGAAACCTAAGTCATCAGTAATTGGGACCTCTTCCATTCCTTTTCTATCGATTGATGACGTTCCGGCTACTACACAAAAAACCTTTTATTGATGTTCCAGCAATTTTTCCCACTCATCTGTTTCTGATGGCCCTAATGCTCTCTGTAAAAGCTGTTACCATGGCATGTCAAGAGTGTTGTCGTATGTTGCTCCTCCTGTAGCGAGTGGAGCTGTGGCATCAACAGGTGGTTTTGTGAAGGATGTGGTGACATACATGGTGATGGATGACTTGGTGATTAAGCCTATGTCCACCATTTCTAGCATTACTCTTCTCAACAAGTTCAATGTCAAGGATGTTGGTGTACTTCAAGTGGAAGTTGTTAATTTTGGAATGGAAGAGGTAATCAATTGATTATTGCTATTTTTTATTGGCATAATACATATAAATATGCCCTTTAACTTGGCTTCAAATCACATTTATGCACTTCAACTTTGGGTGTGCACAAGTAGACACTTAAACTTGTATAAAACTGAACAAATAGACACATATGTCCTACATGTCATTTTTTGTCCTACGTGTGCCATGTAAGACTCATGTGTTTACTTGTTCAACTTTATACAAGTTTAAGTGTTTACTTGTGCATATCGAAAGTTGGAAGACATAAACGTAAAATGAAGCCAAGTTAAAAGACACATTTATGTATTATGCATTTTTTTTTCTCTATTTGCTTTTATTTGGGTCAATTTTTTTGTAGGCCCAACTCAATAACTTCTTATCATATATTGGAGGCGTTGAAGTTGTTGAAGGCATCCTTCGAGTCGAAGACGGTCCTGACTAGTGTTTTCATGAGCGCCATAAAATTGTCCAAATAGTCCTATATGTAATCATGGAATTTGGATGTTTCAGTTTATGGTTTTCTTTTGTTTGTTTTCCCGTTGGAGTTGTGTCTGATTTTTATCTAGCTAAGTTCTTATTTTCCGTTTCTAATTAATCAATCTTATTTTGCCTAGTTTGAGATTGTGTTAGTTATGTTCTTTGCTTTACATATACTCGTTGTGTTTGGATTATTTTTGTTACTTTCTTCCTAGTTCATTTAAAAAAGAATGATTTTCTAAAATATTTTTTGAATTTTTTATTTTTTTTAAAACAAATTTACCACTACACTCTCTAGCGATTTTTTATTAAACATAAAAAATATCAATAGGGACAAGTACAAGTAAGGGGGGCTAGGGCTTACTAATCCTAATGAAGTACCTAACTTCTGCTACCTAACAAGCATGAAGAAAACAAAAGTTAGAGAAAACTAAGTATTTTCTGACCGTCCCAACTATGTTGCCTTCCATATGTCTTCTTTTTGCTTTTGTTGCTTCCACTTCTTTGTTGCCTAGGTGATATATCCTCTTCCCTAGCTACTCTATCAAAGCAAATGTCCAACATATTGTCTTCCTCATCTTCATCAAAAGAATCCTCACCCAAATTCACTCCATCTTCATCAAGAGAATCCTCACCCAAATCAATTGTATTTGACACCAAGGCACTTGACTCATTCTTCCTTGCAAGCAAACATTTAGGCACAAATACAAGAGCTTCTGGACTTAATTTGTTATTTAAAGCAGGTGGTGAGACTTGTTTTTCTTGAATCAAATCGTGGTCATTCTCTGTTAACCTTACTTGCTTTCCAGTAGTCTTCAATAAAGCATCAAAGTTATTCGAACATAATAGGTCTCTTGAGGCATTACTAGTATCTTGCCTTCTCACTGTCATGAAAATTCCCAGTCGGACCCTTTTCACTACATGGAGAATTATTTTGACTAGTAGGGGAAAGGCTCCGACTACTAGTTGATTTTTTGTGTGCAACCAGTGTCCAGTTTTTAGTTGGATTCCCGTTTTCAACTTGCAAAATATGCTGCCCAAAATTTTCAGCATCTTCAACATCAGATGTATTCATTATTTTTTGTCCTGAATCCATTAATTTTTTCCCTGAATCAACTCACGGCGCATCAACCCCAACTATTGGTGTTCCCCCTGCGTTTTTAGTTGTATTAGACATCAAATTCAGCCCAACTTCTTTTGATTGCACCTCATTAGTAGCAACCTCTTGGTTATTGCCATCACCTTTGTTTTCGGTAGTTGTTTGAACACCAATATTACTTGTATCAACATCCATTGAGTTTACACGATTTTGCTCGAAAGTGGAAGCAACCAATTGTTGATCTAAAGAAGTAGCTTTACTTTGATTGACATCTCCAATCTTTCTTTTTTCATTTAATATCTCTCTCGCATCGCCTTGATACTTTTCACTATCGGGAGTACCTTTTAAAGCACCTTCAATGGTATCATCAATTTGTTTGTTATTTTGATTTCCTTTCGAAATCAAACGACAACTATCTTCATCATGACCTTGGTGCTTACAATAATTGCAATACAAAGGTAGATTATCATATACAATCTCCTGAAAAACCTCGATCAACTTACCAGATTTTCCATCCACAAACTGCAACCTTATACGATTTGGAAACTTTTCCTTTAGAACAAGTATTACCTTGACCCTAGTCGTTCTAGGTCTTGACTTGATTTGAGTAATTTTATCTATAGTTATTGGTTTCCCAACTGTTGATGATATAGACAACAGAGACTTCTTTGCAAACAAATTTGGAGATAAGTTCGGTAAAGAAATCCAAACCACAGCTAACGTCGTTTTCTCCTTAGGATTATATTCAATGGACCATGGAAAAATCCTACATTGGTGCTCTGCTTCATTGTAGAGAAGATAATTAACTAAGCGAGATAAAGCTAATACATAATCTTCATATAGATCAAACCTCAACAAAATTTGTCTTGGAGCAAGTAAGTCAATTAAACAATTGCCCTTGGTACCAAGATGTTTCGGTAAAATTGACCTTAATACATTCAAATCTGGCGCACCATGGGATAATTTTTACACTACAGCTTGATGTAATCCCTCTTCGATCATAAAGTCTTGCCTTTCCTCCATTGAAAACGTGATAGTGGGTTCTCCATGAATTATTTCGATTGATTTTATAATTGTTTTTAAGTTAATTAGGACAGATTGTTTAGGATTTATAGTATTGGAATTGAAAAGGGTGGCGTATGTGGTGGTTTGGGGTGGTGGGGCGGGCTGAACAGCCTCGAAAGGAGGCCGTCCAGTGGCCGTAGCAGCCATGACTGCTGCCTGCCGACCTAAGGTTTGAAAAGTAGTCCACGTTTTAATTTTAAGAATATGTAATTTAACGAACAGGTAACAATGGTAATCAATCTTTTAACTCTTCACGTGACAGGTTTAAAACAACAAGATTAAAGGAAATGATATTTCTGATATACCTCTAATTTAAGGTTATTAGATTCAAAATACTTTTTTCATTTTGAACTCCCTGTAATCAAAATCAAACCAGGATAAACAAATTGAAATGGAGAGAGTATCGTTTTTTGCTGTTAATCCTTTTATTTCCACGTCGAAAACCCGGGGTTCACACACTCCTTTAGGCATGAGATTAATGAAAAACTGACGAATCAACTTCCAAATGTTGTATTTTTCAACTTTTAATTGTGACCGTTCTTACTCTTTTTTTAAAAAAAAAAAAAAAAACAATTCCTAGATATTCTTGATTAGTGTACCTTCTTTTACTTTGGTCGAAGATCTGACGACCTTCTATTGAATTATTATTCAATGCCAACTCTTTGAATTCTCCTCCTTTTTTAGATTAGTGTAGCCGTCGTCTACATGAAATCTATGTCATTAATATGTTGATGAAGAAACTGCAACTATTTAAGCATATTACCTTCTCGACCATCCATAATACACAACTAAAAAAAAAAACTTCGCAATTTGAGCATAACAAAATGTCGGCTACTTCTGATACCAAATTGAGCATGAAACTTCTGATTGACACCAAGGCTGGCAAAGTCCTATTTGCTGAGGCTGATAAGGATTGTGTTGATTTCCTCTTTCACATTCTCTCATTGCCAGTGGGCACTGTCGTTAGTCTTCTCAAGGAAAAGGGAATGAATTGGTGTTTGCATAACCTCTACAAAAGCGTAGAGAATCTGAATGACACTTACATGAAGTCGAACGAAGCCAAAAACATCCTTTTGAAACCCAAGTCTTCAATTGGAATAATATCTTCCGTTCCTCTTCGATTGCTTAATGACTTTCCGATCACTCAAACGGCTCCTAAGAATTATAAATGTCCTAATTACTCCTGCTCTTATTATACCGATAACCCTAATGTTTATTGTCCACATTGTGATGAATTTGTGGTTAATGTTGCTCCACCCGCGGCAGCTACAAGCACGGGTTTTGTGAAGGAGGTAGTGACATACATGGTGATGGATGACTTGGTGGTTAAGCCTATGTCCACCATCTCTAGCATTACACTTCTTAACAAGTTTAATGTCAAGGATGTTGGTGTCTTGCACGAGAAAGTTGTACATTTTGGAATGGAAGAGGTTAACATTTCAATTTCGATTTAATTATATTACACTACCAGCACCTAAGAAGTGTTCTTACTGACTACAGAATTCCTATTATTTTGCAGGCGCTGAAGTTGCTGAAAGCATCTTTCGAGTCGAAAGCAGTTCTGACTAGTGTTTTCATGAGCAGCATACAAGCGGAGAAATAGAAGAGTCATATTAAACATAATTGAAGTTGTTGTTTAGTTTAATTACTTTTTAATGGTTTCCTTTTGTTTCATGTCCCGCTAGCTTTGATTTATGAGTTGTAGGTTCACCTATATATGAATCTAAGGAGTACTAATTTGTCTGGTTTTGAGATTATTTTGTTCTCTGCTTTTACCCCGTTTTATGGAGTACCTATTCCTTTATTTGGTTTAAAATGTACAGTTTCATTTGGTATGACTTTGTGTTAAATTACGAAATGTTCTGATTGAAGTATGCTGTAATTTAGACGAACTTATTGCTGCTATAGGTAATATGAAAGATAATGTGAATGCAGATGGTAGTAAGGAGAAAATCCAGGTTGGAGATGTAGGTAGCATTGGATTCTAATTCAAAAAGTAGTACTCCTCCTTCCGTACATGTTTGATTTCGTACACCTCTTAAAAAGTACTTCTTCATCTATTCATATTTGTCCAGTATTGATTTGACACACCGTTTATTAAGATCTAGTAAATCATAATGGATGAAAGGAGTAGTAGCTAGTCAAAGGAAATTAATGAGGGCACATGAGGAGGCAGAGGTATTTCCTCTATTGTGCTGTACTACAATAGGTAAAGCATTAATGTCTGTATTGTTGAGGTCGGTATGCTATGATTTAAAGAGATTTCAGTTTCACTGTCTCTTTGCCTCAAGTGTGGGTTTCACTCATTTACTGTAACACCACTTGTTTCCCTTTTAATTTTCACATGCAACTGCCTCTCCAGCTCCTCTCATTATCTGAGAATATAAGATAATGGCCTATCCACAATAATATTACATGTATTTGACCGCATTACTTTTAAGAACGACAAATCTCTTTATGATAAATAGATCCATTTTGCTAGTTCGTTATTACGAAAGTAGGATCCACAACCATAATCTTATACTTGTTACTGTTAGTAAAATGACAAAATCTAACCCTTTTGATATTACAAATGCCTACTTCAAATTTAGAATTCGTCTCTTTTTAAGAATGAAGGAAGAGATGTCTAATTTATTTATTGGCCACTTCTTTTAGGTAAATACATTTATGTCCAATTGGCCAATTGTGTTAATTGAATCCCTCATCTCTTTTGCATTTATTTGAGGCTCTGCCATCATTCTTCAACTACCATTCGCTTCAACTACTAAGCAGTTACAATTTTTCTTTTTATATCCCTTTGCACAACCCCAACACCCAATATTTATGCTTCTACATTTAATGCTCTCAACGGCCAATAGGGAAACTGTAAATCCTGGATTTATTACTAATAAACAATTGTTGCCTTTTTGGCCCTATTTATACTCCAAACCTTTCACTATACTTTGCTTCATACACCACATTTACTTCTACAGTATACTTTGCTCTCCCATTTTCACTAAGAAAATCAAGCATGGCTAAGATTGTTTCAATTCTCCTTTTGGCCCTCCTTGCCATCTCCATGCTTGCTAACACTGTTATGGCTGCAAATGGCAAACACCACCATGCTGTAAGTTAACTTTTTCTTAATTATTGAATTTTCACACTTTCTGTAACCATTTGTTATCTAATATATGTGACAAATTATCTCAGAAAAAGTATGGACCAGGGAGCTTGAAGCCCTCGCGTAAGTATTTCTCTTTTATTTCACTCTCCAAAAGTATTGAGTATCAAAATATCTAATGTTTATAAGCGGCAGAGAAATGTACTAAATAGCTATAAACATTGGATTGTTAGCTCATAAACTTTAAATCCTGAAACCGCTTTGTAATGTTTATGAGAACTTTTAAGTGATGATTGCTTTTTGTTCTGTTGTATTTTACCAGAATGTCTACCACAATGTACGAGGAGGTGTAGCAAGACACAGTACCACAAGCCATGCATGTTCTTCTGCCAAAAATGTTGCAACAAGTGTTTGTGTGTTCCACCTGGTACTTATGGAAACAAGGCTGTTTGTCCCTGTTACAACAACTGGAAGACCAAGGAAGGAGGACCTAAATGCCCTTAAATTACTTTCTATTTTCTTCATCTAATATGTCTACCTTATCTTCTTGTTTTTTTCTCCTATTGCACTTTTATCTAACCCAAGTGGTTATATATGTAATATGACCATATTTCCAGTTTGAATGGAACAAAAATAATACTTGCATTTAATGTTTATACTCTTGCTAGAAAGTTTAATGTTCCTTTGGACCAAAAGTTTGGTGTGGCCAATTATTTTGGTTAATAAGAGATCATGTCTGGCCAATTATTTTGGTCTACTGTTCTGTTTTTCTATTTCTACAACAAAATTAGGGTAAATTTCACAAATACCCACTCTAATTGAAAATTAAATATCGTCATATGCAATTGCTGGTTTACCTATGTTTTCATCTTCTGCTTTTAGAAAAGGGAAAAAGGACATTATACTTTACGTATATATTTACCCTTGCCGTCAATTTTTTAGGCTGTGTATACCCTCAACCCAAACGAAGGGACACGTGGCATCATCCTAGCATACGTCCGATTTTAATTTATTTACCTAAAAATAAAATTACCCACTCAACTATCCATTTCTAAGATCCAATTAAGACCCGAATTAAAAATATGTTCACAAAATCGCCAGATAGCAGCCTCCAAATTCGTCAATATGCCAGCGTTTGAGATTATTATTCTACTGAGGATTTTAACCTCAAATGCATGGTTCTCCACCCTTCAAAACATCTTGTTCTCCACCTCTAATCTATGCATTATTCTCCGTTGTTGCAAATTTGTGGGAAATTGTTTTTGTTCTCCAGTATTGCAATTTGTGGGACATACAATTTCTTATTGCCTCAATTTCTTATGGATCGTTCTCCGCCCTCTAATTTTAGTTTTCCAAAAGAAAAATTGAATCAGTGGAATCGTTCATTAATCTCTTTTGATAGACAGCTATGGAGCTCCGACATGTCGACGGAGCTAATGCAAAAAGAGGTGTCACCCCATCGCTAGCCTAACTCGTCAAAAAGACCTAAAAGACACAGAAGAACACCACCAAATTGTATTTGAAGGCAGCGCCACCCTTGATGGTTCTCAGTCACGACATCGCTGCCGCATCATCATGCCACCAAAATGATAATTGACAATGCAATTCTGTTGGAAATCATCTCAGCAACACTATACGTTAAAAGCCTCAATTGAATCACAGCAGGGCTCAATGAATTTGGAATTTAGGATTTGATGTTTAAGTTGGGTTTGGAGTTTAATTCGGGTCTTAATTGGATCTTAGAAATGGATAGTTGAGTGGGTAATTTTATTTTTAGGTAAATAAATTAAAATCGGATGAATGCCTAGGATGATATCATGTGTCCCTCCGTTTGGGTTGAGGGTATACACAGCCTAAAAAATTAACGGCAAGGGCATATACATACGTAAAGTATAACGAAGGGTATACACATACTATTTATGATAGTTCGGGTATATTTGTCCTTTTTTCCCTTTAGAAAAAAGCCAATAAAAAAGAAGAAGCATAACAACCTGACAACCGAGAACATAGAATTTCCCAACAGCTTCCCTTCTAGAAAATAACCAAAAAAAGAAAAACAGATTTTCCATCTTTCCTCATTAATCTAGTTATAGGTTCAGATCCTCTTCTCACTACTCTTTTGTCATATATTGTCAAACTCTCTATAACAACATCGTTTGTCCAGATGTGTTTTGGTTGCTATGGAGAACATATAATATAACATAACATGAAAATAGGTTGCAAAAAGACTTGGTTGTTATAGAGAGCGGTTGTTTGCTGCTAAAATCACAGTGACAGAACACAAAGTTGTCCTCTCTTCTGGAGGATTACAGTAGTGCAAACACTACACAAAAATGGAAGCAAAAGGCATGGCAAAACTAAGTCACTTGAGAAGAATAAATGTTATTAATGACAGTAATCGACTAATGTGATGTGAAGATATGGTATCTACACAACTGAAGCAACGATCTGATAAAGTTTAACTGACCCTGGAGGGTAAGATTTCCACGCCACCTAGTGGCTGCAATGTTTTGATATGTACAAACATAACAAAATAGGAAATTTGGAGCTTTTGCGTCTCTCGATGAAAAGATACAGTGGGTAAATGATTAAAACAAAACGAGAAAAAATCTTTCCCCATTATGTAGCTTACCATCTGTACAATTAACTTATGGAAACAGAGAAAGCTGTTTATACTGGTTGTAGATGAGGAGTTGTTGCCCGTCCTGGTGTCGTCAAAGGTTCTGCGGCCGGTGCAGGTCCAGGTGCGACTGTGACATGCAAACCCCTATGCTGCCCTGCCTGCGCCAGGAAAGCAACTTCGGCTGCTGCTAATGCTGCTGCCTCCTGCTTTTATATATGTGAAAAAAGAAAAATCATAAGTATATATTTGACATTTACACACTAACATATTTAATGAAGTTTATAATTTACACAGTCAACTCACTTAATAGTCTATGAAAATAAAAGATACCTGCATATCATACGGTTGGATTGGTAACTTAGAAAAATATGCAAATAACCTACCATAACCTCAAGTGTATAAGTTAAATACACCTTTAGATGTCTCCCGTTATTTTTTTGAAACTTTCAAGTGTCTTATCTACCTACAAGGCATTTATGTACATGTGAAAAAGGACTCTAATGTTGGTTACACCAAAAATGTATGAAGATAAACTGCACCATGAACAGCCAGTGGGCATGATTAACTTCTACACAACTAGAACGGGTGGTGAAAATTCTCAAATGTTGAACCTGCTCTTAATTTCTATAAAAAAAATTAATCATGATAATGAAATGCTCTGATCGTTATTTGATTCAACCAACTTACACCAGTAGTGAAAAATGGAATTCTGAAATCACAATGGAACCTCAAATCTCACAGATTGAAAATAGTTCTGATGTCTCTCAGGTGCAAGGTGGTCATTGAATAACTTCCATGATGTATACAACCATTGGCCTACTATTATTTTTCATCATTATCAATATGAAATCTGAAAATGTGATGTTTAATACTTATTGGAAGAAAAATTCAAAAGAAAACAAGTATGCCAATTAAGGGTTTGTATAAGAAACAAGAATAATTGTGTATTTCATTCATGAAAGTTAAGACTATTAAACAGCCAAAGATGGTAATCAAATAGTTGGTTAAACATGGAATAAGCTTGAAGATTAGAAGTTTATGAATGTACATAAATATAGCAGCTAGTTAACCATTACCACCAAAAGAAAAGCAGAAAAAACTAAGGGACTTAAACAATGAGAGTGGCATATTTGGCATAAACACAAAGTGTCAGTAAAATGTGCAAGAATGAAGACAAATGTCAACACAGTTCTGAAAGTTATAAAAAAAAAGAGAAAAAGTATCTAACCTGTCTTTGCCTACGACGCTGCAATATACCGACAGCCCAAGCTATAATGTAACAAGGTAAAAGAAAACCGGCAGCACGGAGCAGGAAAAGCTGTGTCAAGAATCAACTAGATCATTAGTCCCACCCGCTGTCTAGAGTAGATGTGTCATAAACTTATCATAGAAAGTAACAAGTAGACTTAAAACTCACTGTATTACTTACCGTGAAAAAGGTGGAAACATCATCCTCATCCTCATCAGCATCTCCAACGATCAGAGCATGCCTCAGTAACAGAAGGGCCATTAACTGAAGGAAAACAGAGTGCATAATTTAATATGGTGAGCAAACAAAGTGAGAAGATAGAAAAACAAATTTGTCACCAAGATCTACTGTTTTTGGCACATCTAAAAGATTCTTCCCCAATCTTCTTCAAGTTTAACATCCATAAACATGTAGGATACATGCCATGCATACTGCGGAAATCTTTAAATATTTAGGAACGAGATTGACACTCATTTCTGATCCCATTGGACAACCAGAAGAAAAATAGCATAAGAAACAAGACAGGGTAATAAGAGGAAAGTGAAGAAAAGCATGCACTCTACCAAGAGATCATTGCAATGACATAATATCATATACTAATACAGATTGCCATTTCAAGGACTTGCTGGAAAATCTTTATTTTTTATTTATTTATTCAAGTATAACCAGAAATATGGTCCTGCCGGGGTTTGAACCCGCAACCTTCACAAGCATGAGGGTATAAGTAATGACGGGTGTAGAAGCTTGTTTGTCATCTATACAAAGGGTGGATGAGTTAATATCTATCTTTTTTTAATATCAATAATGTTTTCTCTTACATATCATTACTAAAATATGCCTCCAATGAGATGAAAATCCCCGTTGTATTTTCTCTAAAGATGGAATCGGCCCAAAAATGCAATCTTGATAAAATTCTACTACCAATTCAACTGCACTCTACCATCTCAGAGCTTAATGTGAAAATTCATTAATCACACTACCAATGTCATTCCCACCCTCCTCTCTCTCAAGAGACTTTTAATTCGTTCATGTACATACCAGCTAGAAGAACAATTTTAATGCATGTCCAACATCACACTAGCCACTACTAAGCAAAAGAAGTTTGCACTGCAATAAAACAAAATGAATTAACTACACAATAATTCAGTTGCTTACAATCAAAGCGGCAGACCGACAAAATGCAGCTCCATTAGCATTTGAATCTGCATATTCATCATAGTCAGCCTCTAGAAGACGGCGTTCAGCAGCAGCCATTGCAAGAAGTCGAGGATCATGAAAGTCGACCTGAGTGCCACCCACTGTCCAACCTCTACATAAGCCACATGGTTGAATTCATCATTGACAGATAAGACAGAAAAGAAGTTTATCGGCATATAAAGATTACAAAAGGATGTGCTGTTTATGTTTCGAGTGCTACATGACCCCAGAAGCATAGAAACACTGTCTGGATCTTATTGAAAAAAAACTAGAAAACCACTCTTAAAAAGGGGAAAAGAAAGAAGTTGAGGGAAAAATAGCCAAACAATCACTTACCACAGGCAGAAGTTACTAACGACAAAAACTGGCTCCAAAGTATTGGTTCCATCAGATTATGTTACAAATTTTAAGTAACAAGGACAAATTATGCATCAACAGTGGTCAGTGTATATTGGGGAAAACTAAGCTACCCGGACATACCTGATGTCAATGGATGTATCTTCAGATTGAGGAGGCGGGGGCCGAGCAGTATAGCCAGGCTGATAAAGCTGCAGGTTAGACACAAAATTTTCTAAGTTTGGTAAGCCTGCCAGCTAGATAGAAATATTTCCGCGTGTAGCTGAACTAAAACTCTTTCAGCAAGCATTCACTGGCATTCCAAATTTGTGACAAGTATCAATGCCCTTTGTTTTTTATTAGTTGTATCAATGTCCTATATTTCTGAAGTAAAAAAATAAATCTGCGTAGGGATAAGTGACACACTCTACCGTCAGGAAAGAGTATTGAGGAGGAAAGTGCGAGCACATAAAGGAAATATGATTGTCTATACTCTCAGCTGGTGGTCTGGTACAGAGTCAATTATGTTATCTCACCTAGACACCTACCCTCACTCTTTTATGGCTCAATTGTCTTACACTGGTTTTGGTATGGGGAGAGGCAAAAGGTTAATCATCATACTCAATAAAACAATGTAAATAGAACACACATAGGAGTACCTGATGGCAAATCTCGCAAGTTATATCTCCCTTCTCATCACACCATCGTTGAACACATTTTCTATGAGCATACTGGATTTTGTGACAGTGAAGTAGATGACAAATAAAAAAGAATAGTTAGCATACCAATAAAAGCTCATATAAGTACACAAAATAATTGTTGGACATTGCAACACAGAGATAAATAAGCTGTGACAGTGAAGAACACAAAATAATTGTTGGACATAGTGACAGTGAAGTAGACTAGAATGCTTTCAACTTTGTTGAAGAGGGCAGAAAACTCAAATATCAAGCCTCTGTAGAATGTTGAATCATTCAAATCTTAAGATCTTGAGAAAAAATGTATCAGGGATTAGCAAATTTTAGGCTTTAGCTGTAAAAAACGTGATTGACATAATTATAAAAGCGTAAGCAACTCATTGAACAAGAAAAGAACTAAAATTCACCAACTTCACAAAGATACCTTCAAGCTGCCACTGCAACCACAAGGCATCTCCAAATTTTTCAAGCTATCTTCTTCCTGGCAAATCCGACATTCCACAGTCTGAAGTAATGGCTCTTCTTCATCTCCAGCTCTTGGATATTCGTTCTCTTGAGCATCAATACCTGAGGACGTACCAACTGTCTGAGTGACAGATGTGCCTCCAGAGAATTCTGTATGCTCGGGCCGTGGCAGAGAGTGCAATGATTCGGGTGTGATAAGATGGTCAACACGCAAAACCAAATGTTCTTCCATTAGCAGTTCACCAACTTATCCTAAGATCCTCAAACAACGTCAGCCATCTCATATGACAAAAATATAAGAGGAAAAATTCAGACACTCACTAAGCAAAAGAAGATTCTCTAACCATCACATTTTTACAGACTACTAGAGATACTGGTTTTAGTGAATTTGGTATACTTTAGTGTTGTATAGTTTTGCTTTACCTCTGTATAGCTTTGCCCTAAGTTAGCCACCTATGTTGCCATCTTAAAAAACGAATCTTGCTACTTACTAAAATGGCCATCACATGTCAAGAGAAAGGAATTTGAAAAGCATCCAGAATGCCACATTAAACATGCAAAGAAACTGGATCTCCTAGTTTAAATTCGCAAACATACATTTCTCACTACTAAAGAACAGCACTCTTGAACAGAAAATTAGAGTTTGAAACCTAACATCAAATTGACCTATAAAATAAGTTCGAAAATTCAACCCAAATTCTGAAGCAAAACGGTTAAACAAACGCATGAAACAACCTTCTGAGATCCCTCAGTCCCATTTCCTCTCTTTTTTCTAACAGTCAACAATCTTGACAAAATCAAGACCATACATTTCATGATAGAACTTCTAAAAGCTTCAAGCTTTGGGCATAAAAAGGATGAAAAAACATCGTTTACCTTCAGTTTCAATAAATCGCAAAAATTATATAACAAGTCAGAATCCAGCGATTAATTAGCTCACCCAATTATAGAAATCTTCCACCCAAAGCAAAAAGTTTCAATCTTGGACTAGGAACTTAGATTAAAATGTAGATTAATGGTTGGAATTTGAGATAACTGAACTGAATCAACTCACCTAAATGTAAAATCATAAACCCCAAACAAAAAGAGCAAAATTAGGATAAACAACAGATGAAAAGGTACCTGAATATGCAATTCTTGATGGGTTAGCTTTGTGAAGGACCAGCTTAGAAGCTAATGAATATATACGAGTCTTTTTCAGACAAGAAAAGTCGCAATAACACTTTTTCCTTGTGGGGTTTGCTTAGAAATTTATGATAAAATTGATATATTTATATTCTTCTAGTTTATTGTAGAAGTCTTTTCTACTCTTCTATATGGCCGAGTAAAGATTAGATTAAATCTCGAGGTTTTGGGTTTAAATTTTGAAGAAATAAAAATATATTAGGTAATATTTTTATTTGTTTTGATTTTGATGGACGAAATTATTTGATACTCATTTGAAAGATAATAGATATTTCATAGAATTATTTAAAAATTGATTGGAATATCACAATTAGATGAATTTATAAAAACCACAAATCTTCGCTTTTACCCTTGGTCTTGGTAACGTTTTCCCCAAGCCAAAAGAAAATGACGTTTTCCGTATGGGTATAATGGACAAAGTCAATGTTGTCATAAATTTCAAAATTTTAAAAAAAAATGTTTTCTCAATATTGGTATTCATATTTAATTAATGAATATTATAAAGTTACATATTTTAAATAGTTAAGGAAATATTAAGCGCAAATGTGTTTACTTTTTACTTAGTCTTTTAATCATAAGTCATAAATTAAGAAGTGTTATTTCTCACATTATAGGGGAGTTTCGAGGCAATATAAAAATTACTCTCTTTGTATGACTTATAAATTGCAGGTTAGAGTTGTAAAATCAATCATTAATACTTATATTAGAGTTTACTATTCAAATCAGACATAAAATATCTAGTAAGTCGAATTATTCTTATATCTCACTTAATCAGACATATGTTTTGCATTATTTACTTGGCAACAAAGTATTATTTTTTTGTAGCAAGTAATTAGTCCTCTTAGTAAAACCTTGGGGAAGAGGTCTTCTTCCAAGAAGAAGCAAACTAGAACAATAAAAAGTCAATGGTCATAAACAAAGACAATAATCTCTTCTAGTTGCTTTGGCTAAAAATGAGTAAGCACAAAGAGGGGAATAAAATGTACCACGTAATTTCATGTTTCTTAGCTCCCTTTTGTACCCCACCCACACTTGCACATAATTGATATAAAAAAAAAAGTCCAATGGTAGCCTAATAGTACTAATTAGAGGAAGAAAAAGATGGAAAAGTTTGGTATGTATGTTTGGCTTTTAAAGAGTTGATGAATTGGTAAAAAGTAAAAGGGAAAATGGGGTGGTTGAGTAGCATGCTCTCTAGAAAGGGAAAATGGGGTGGTTGGTATTCGTATTAGAGTTCGATTAATTCGAAGCTCAAATCCAAGATCTTTAATTAAAAGAGGAGCAATCTCCTCCACTACACCACATTTGTTGGTGGTATACTACTCATTAATCCTCTATATCAATTTAGTTTTGTGTTTCTCTTCCCTTTTCTTTTTTCCTTGGATGCTATCTAGAAAAAAAATATAAATTATTAATTGCACATCTAAAATATTCTCAAAGCAATATTGTAGACTGATTATATATAATTAATATGGATCGCATTATTATTTTATCTTTTGTTATTCTGATTTTTAAGAAGTCATTTGAATTCAATAGCACATAAAATATTGAATATTCATTACATATTAAGGTGATGCATTATGAGTTTACGAGACAAAAAAGCATTTAAACGAAATTTCTAAAAAAAAAAACTAAGGTTGAACAACTAGATAAAACTATTAAGGATCCATATTATGAGTGTGCAAAACAACATTATTTAATCAATAAAAGTTTAAAAGAAAAGAAGGATGGAATGGGGACAAATAGAAGGAAAAAGTTTAGTGACAATATCATAGATTCAATGATGTGTTTCTTGACCTTATATGAGTCATGATAAGTTTTGTTTGCTTATGAGCATCATTGTTATTATTTACAAGTATCACTTTTCTTGTTGTATCTCATTCAAGATGTTGTGTATTTTATTTAGGCATAATACATGAATATATTTTTTAATTTAGTTTTATCTTACATTTATCTCCTTCAATTTTTGGTATGCACAAATAGAACGTTAATCTTATATAAAATTGAATAAATAGACGCACGCGTCCTACGTGACATTCTATAAGACAATTTGAGCACTATGTAGTGTCCTACGTATATTATGGCACATAGGACTCATGTGACTATTTATTTAACTTTATACAAGTTAAGTGTTTACTTGTGCACAGTGCCAGAGCCACCTTACAATGAGGGATCCGAACTCCCTTCGGCGAAAAATTATATGATTTATACATGGTTAAAATAATTTTTTAGGTATATATAGTATATGTCAAACCCTCTTCGGCTATTTCGTGTATCTATTTTTTTAGATTTTGAACTCCCTTATTGAAAATTCTGCCTCCATCACTGCTTGTGCACACCCTATGTTGAAAAACATGAACATATAATGAGGTCAAGTTAAAAGTCACATTCATATATTATGACTTTCATTTATATGAGTGTCATGTTAATAACACCTTTTTTTTTATAGGTAAAATGAGCTTTCTTGTTTCCATTTTTTTCTTTTGTGAAAAAATTATTGTAATCTTTATGATTAATTTACTATATTTTTCGTCGAGTATATTGACTAGTATCAATATACTTTTCTTTAACTTAAAGAATCGATTTCTTATGAGACATTATGACTAGTTGTGAAATTAAGATTTGTTAATCTCACGTGTGATTCTTACACTAGAGTATTGATTTAGCAAAATTAATGATAAATCTCTTTTTGAAAATTAATATATACTATATACTCTTGGTTTAATAATTGAGAATAATTCTCCTATTCCTATATCGCTAAAAACAAAATCGGATCCGGGTTTTGTTAAAGTACGGGTTAAAACTTAAAAGCCCAATTCGGAGTTGATCAGTTTAATCGGGTCACAACCTTTGCCAGTTGCCACTGTCAGTGAGGGTTTAAACTTGCATCAAAACCCTAGCGTTCCTTTTACCTCAATTCTAACCGCTTCACTTGCTCCCTTCAACTTACAACAGCATAGCCATGGCAGAAACAGAGCCTGAAGCCGCCGCCGCGCCCGCCGTTGAACCCTTAGTAGAGGCCGAGAAAGAGGACACTTCGGCTCAGGACATGGATGTGGAAGCTCAAGCCGCCGATGATACGGAAGAGAACGGAGGGTCGAAGCGTCCAAGGGAGGAGGAAAACGAGGTGGAGAATGAAGACGTTACAAAGAAGCTGAAGGTCGATAAGTCTGTGGAAGAAGAACGATTCGAGAATTTAGATGGAAGCAAAACGGTGGAGGAAGAGAAGAAATACGAGTCTGGTCCTGTTAGCGTGGGTCCTAAGAACTTTGGATCGTCTGTGGAGATGTTCGATTACTTTTATAAGCTTCTTCATTCTTGGTCTCCCAACCTCAACCTCAACAAGGTGAGCTGTTTTATGTATTTTTCTTCAATATTGCAGTGAAACAGTTGTGAGTGGAGCGAAATAGATAACTAACCTTGATGTGAAATGCTCTGAATGTCGAATTGTGCCCACATAGGCTCGAAATGGATATAGATGATTCATATAGCTAACACTGACCCCCTTAATTTGTTATTAAGGCTTAGTTGTTTGAGTGTAGCCTATTGATAAAATTTGTGGAGGATTGACTGTGCATAATTCCATAAACCAAGATTTGATCTTTGTACTGGTTTTGGTCTCCGGTTTTAGTTTTTCATGGATAGGCTGCCAATGTGTGATTTCTCGTGAGCAATTTCGGATATCTTACATGGAATAGTCTGAAAGTGTGTAGCTTTAGAGCATTAAGCTGAATTATATGTTTATATCAGTCAGCCAGTGCAGAGTGCACTATGCTGTTTGGTTCCCTTGTGTGGCTTTGTAGTACCAATTGGGCAAGTTTATTTGTGAGCCATAAGTTATCTCCAGCCTGCCAAAAGTTGCTTCCTGTCTAAAGCATCCGGCGTTTAGATGGATGGGATGGGAGATTTCTATTCTCTGTGTGTATACGACTATGAATATTGACTCAAGCCAAGCAAATAGTCTCTTGTTAGATATGATAGTAATTGTGAGATTGCACCTCTCCTATTTTGGCCCATATATTTATTTGGTTTTAGCAAATAGTATCAAAATTCATAAGGCAAAGTTAGAGAATACCTAACTTCTTACTGAATAAATGGGCCAGAACTGGATAATTGCAGTTCAACAAGTACAACCACATGGACAACACCTTCCATTTCTTTCCATCCTTGGTTAGTTGGAAGTAAAATGCATTTAGAAAACAATGGTTGTATTATGTGCGAGAATTGGATGGTACATTTGTTGTGTGACCTCCTTGATTAAGTGCCCGTTTGGATTAGCTTATTTTTAGGTGTTTTTGGCTTTCAAGCACTTTTTAAAGGTGTTTGGAAAGCTTAAAAAGTGCTTTTAAGCACCCACTTTTAGACCAAAAAAGTTGTAAAATAAGCCAAAAGTAGGGTATCCTCTACTTATGGCTTTTAGTTTTTGACTTATAAGTTTACTTTTTATAAGTCCATCCCAACAGGCCCTAACCCATTGCTTGTAGAAAGAAGTTGTGTTCAAATATGCTGGGTAATCTATTTTGGTTGGTTAGATACTCATGTCTCATCACATGAAATTTTATCTGTGCTTTCTGATTCCTTTTCTTGCTGTATTGCAGTATGAGCACATTGTTTTGCTTGACTTGCTAAAGAAGGGTCATTTAGAGCCAGATAGAAAGATTGGTACAGGAGTCCGCGCATTCCAAATCCGGTTTCATCCTCAATTTAAAAGTCGCTGCTTCTTTGTCATTAGGGAGGATGACTCTGTGGATGATTTTAGCTTCAGGAAATGTGTTGATCACATTAGTCCCCTCCCAGAGAACATGCAAGTAAAACACGAGGCAAACAGAGACTTGGCTCGTGGTGGAAAAGGAGGTGGGCGTGGCCGTGGAAGAGGAGGGAAGCCAAGATATTGAAGG